GATTTATTAGGAAAACATTTTAAATTCTGAAAAAAGTTCACAATGTTTATAATGCTTTACTTAATGCTACATGTACTACAGCTTTTCACTTGATTTTAAGTAATGTATATTTCCTTAAAATGCTTGTGCAGTGTGTTTTGTGTGTCCATTTTCATTGTATTGGCAAATAAATTAAAGTCCAGCAAATAAAACCCTTCTCTTCCAAAATGTAAAAAAAGAAATATATTCTCTAAACACCTGTGAAACTCGCTACTGTATGCTTGACAACTCGTTTATCTTTATCTGTTCCAGAAAAATGAAGAAATAGCTGCTTTGGAAGAGCAGCAAAAGACTGACAAACGACTTTATCAGGAAGAAATACATAATTTCCAAATTGATTTGAAAACTATCTATAAACAACACAAGGATGAGGTATTATTCTGCGTTTTTATATTATTGTATTTGAATACAAAAAAACGAGGCAGTGTTGAAAAAACATGTTGTCTCTAGGAGTATAATAAAAAAAGATTTAATTGTCGATACAAATCATCATCAGTTAATCATAAATCGCAAGGGACAACGTTAATTGGTCTATTATGTAAAATCAAGGAGCTTTAGTTACATAGCACCATGAAATAGCATTAATATCTCTGACATAGGAAACTATTGTAAAAGCATTGTAATTCTGACAAGATGTTAATATCCACTGAAATATACTCATAACCATCGATTTCTCGAAAATTAGACTGGTGACCCCCCCTAATATCTGGTGACCCCCCCCCAATATCCTTGTATTTCTTTGGAGTACAATTTATTACAAAATTAATAAATTCTGGGTATGTGCATTTATGAGTAGGCTTCTTCCGTATAGCAATTTGAGCCAAAGTAAAATTATACACTACTGAGCGTGTTACGGTAGTGCATACACATGTATGCAATGCATTATAGGATTGTTTTAATAAAAACCTATACTAACAAACCTGAAACTGGTTAAATTAAAGCTAAACAAAATTAAGATTCGATCAATAATATGACTTTTTCATCTCATATGAAAAGATAATTTCACCACAAAAACAAAACAATTTTTTGAAAAACCATATTAATGAAAGAATGCAGAAGACTACTAATAATCTTCTATTCAACAATCTGTTGCCTAATTAAAAATAACATGTGATATCATGAATAAGTGATAGCTAGAATTTTGATTTATCTCGATAGCAGCTCTCAACCGACAACTTTTGTTGGGACAGCCATTACTGAAGATTGTGAGTTACCAGATGATAACTTTTGAGGTATCTAATTTTGTCTATGCAAATTGTTTGCCTGTAGATATCTGCACTGAAGTTGGATAATGCTTTATTACATCATTACAAAGAGGCTTGCAAAAAAATTGATCTCCTTGAAGAAGAGGTCGACAAGCATGTAAGACATGCACAAGTGCTTGAAAGAAAAAAAGCACTAATGGTAAGTATCCCAGTGTCTGCACATTTATCCATTAATAGACCATCCATTTTCCGTTCCCTGCGAAATCGAGTTATGCGTGAAATTGAACGTAAAAACAGGGCAAGCAAAGGTCATAGTGGCGTTAAAATATCGACTGGGATTCAAGAAATGCGAAACAATTTTTGGGGTATTTTTACTCTATACATGTTTGATAATCGTTAGTTTTGATGAAATTAGGGAATTCAAAATTAAATTTGATTTCGAGGCCAAACGTTCCAAGTCTTTCACACATTACGCAAGTTTTATAGTGATTGTCAGTTTTTGTAAAAACAAAATTTGAAAGGGGAGCACACTTTAACTACCATTGGTAGCACTATTTTTGTTATAACTGATCATAATCTACTGACTGTTCCAGGTTTAGTAAAAGGGCGCAAGCCCTGGGTATGAGGGTGCTGTTCCCTTGTCTGGAAGACCCCCTGAACATTAAATCTACTATTGGGACTCATTTTCTTGGTCATACCTGGACTTATTACTTTGAAATTACAATTAGATCATTCCTTTTTAACTATTTGACTGCATGCAAGGTCAACAATTTATGATGAATTATGTCAACTTTGGTCAAGATTAACTAAAAAATACATAAAAATGTGCAAACTGGTGTGCTTAATTGTGGCATTTAAGGGGTTATGCTTCATTGCGGTCTTCATTGAACTATTTAATCATTTGAATATGCATTAATTGCGGAAATATTTGTTTACCTGTATTTGTGCAGTGGCACACATCAATTCAGAACAGAATTGAATGCAACTTTAGTATACGACCATCTTGATTGCTATCTAGACAATAAAACACAAGTTATGAAACTAAAAATCCAGATTTCTACCAAATGGTGAAAACAACAATTCTGAACAAACTGCCAGTGTAGCTGCATGCTATCTTACTCATTACTTAATATCTAAATTTTATAGAGGAAGTTTGTAGCAGTTATGTTATGTTTCTTCAGACTTCATAGCCAGTGATAGATATGGAATAACTTAGCGTAATTCAAGAAAATGCCCAGGTCTAAAGAGCCCTAGTCGATTTCATCCTTGTATAGGAAACTAGGTACAGGTAGATCAACACACTATCGTGTGATTATACATCACATGTTTACGTTGATGTATACAAGTCACAACATGTGATGTGTTTTGATGTGAAATGCTCAACATTCACTTAGTCAGGAGTCTAATGTATCATAACATTTTTTATTTCTTTTCTAGACTACTAAAAAATCAGAGCTTGCGACATTGACTGAACATTTGAAAAAACAGGCTACTATCATCGAACAAAACAATGTTTATCTCTGTGAAAAGGTACCTCATCACCATTGTTATTGGACTCTCTTGCTGCAGCTTGCTTGATATCAAAGTCGTATCAACTTTTTTTTTTTAAGGCAACCTGAATAACTAAAAATTCAATGCCATTTTATTGGCATGTAATCTGGTTTGTACCTTATAGAGGGCTGTAGTATTTACTGACTGTCCATAGACATGTATATTTGTATTTTTGAGATTGGTGTATACCAATGTAAATTCTTTTTAAAGGGGACTCATTCATAACTTGCTTTTCAGGATGCATCTTTACGAATGAGGGAGGAAAATGTGAGTGAACGTGAGAAGAAAGTCTTTGTTGCTGAATCTGAAACTCGTGAGTTACAAAAAGAGGCATTGGAAGCTATTAAAGCAAAGAAAAGCCTGCAACTTCAGTATGAAGATTTAATGCTACAGTTGCATGAATCAACTGCTCAGATCGCAGATATTGTGTCTGATGTCAACAACTATAAGGAAGGTATAGACATTATTGCTGATTTCATTAAAGCTGGACAAGATTATTTTTCAACATTTCAACAGTCCGAGTGCTACTATCACCACGTTATATCTCTCCGATTCATTCTCCATTGCATCATCATAATCTATCCTGCTTTGTCATGCACTGCTGACTTTGGAAGTGTCTGGGTGGCTTTTGTGTGAAGCTAAATTACACATATTCTCTACATGTATCCCTGGCCTGTGTTGTTTGTTTGCAATATCATACATTCTTCTTAAATATATTATTGATATGATGGTATAATTTATGAACAACGTTTATTGTGCCCAGGTGGTCCATTTATGCAGTCTGTGTGTCTTTTATTGTGAAACCAATGCTTCCTCAATTGTTTGTCGCTTTTCAAATTAAAACAAAGATTTAAAGTAAGCTCAGGACCAAGTTCTACAGTTGGAACATTGATTAGATCAGAATTGTTATTGCTTGATATCTGTAAAGTTATCTTTGGAGATATTGACTGAATTTTATTCTTCTTGATATTATGATATTCCTTACAAAAATTTCTTATAAGATTTAAAAAATCAACTTTTCATGAAATCCCCATAGTACAAGTACATGTATAATCCTATATGATTTCATGCAAAATATGAGCTAAAACTTTGATCATGTTGGTTTATTCCTGTCCAATGCTGTTAGAGTTGTGTTGACAATTTCAGAGATTCTGACTTTGACGTTAGAGCTGGAGAAGAGTCATAAAGAGAATTCTGAATTGAAAGAAGAAAACCAGAAAGTGTTATTAGAGGGTGAGGTAATAGAAGGAGCTTTGAAACTCCAAGAAGAAGAGATTATTAAACAGAAAAAAAGAGCAGAAGATGCTGAAAACAAGATGGTGGTTTTAAACGGCGAGATTGAGAAAGAATGTCGGCAGTGAGTTTCCTCCATTATTTAGTCACTCTTTCAGTTAAAGATGCCAGCAACGTTTACTCGTGACTGAATCTGATAGTCATCCAATGTCAACTTTTGTAACCTTTTTCAAAACAGACCAAATTTGACTGCACTTTTTTTTCTTGTATTCTTCGATCTTTTTGTAAATGAACCCTAATTTTGGAGCCAACAGACAAAATTTGAGTCAATTTTTGTTTTTTACTCAAAAACTGGTTATTTTTGTTCCAATCTTCTGAAGGAAGGTGCAGACTATTTTGTGAATTTGTGATGAAAAGAGGGAACTAGTGGTATTTTCAAATATTTTGACCTAAAGCCAATGGGAAATTATGTTTATTTGGTTCAAAAAATAAGAAATTGTGAAAAAATACCTAAATCTTAGTAATGTGGCATCAAAATTTTGGCAAAAAATCAAGACAATCAAAACTCTCAATTCACAGTTCATACTATTTTTTGTAAACTATTTTTCATACCAGTGATGATTTTTTTTGCTCAATACATTTGTAACCTGTGGATTTTAAATAATATAATGAAACACATTAAAAAATGTTAATTCTTCTTCTGAACACAGAGCTTTTGATGATTTAAATTCTATGATGGATAGAATAAATGTCCTGAAGAAGGAGAATGAGCAAAAGGATGCTGTGATCAGAAAACAGGCAGACGAAATTCAACAAAACTCTCACTTCAAAGTTCTGTGTTCTACACTTGAAGAGCAACTGCAGGTTTTAAACATTTTCTTATTTCAAATATTGTCTGGATTGCTGAAAATGTTAGCATCTAATCCACTCTAATTGCATTTGATTAATATATCGCCTGCTGAAAACCCCCATGGGAAAAATTCCATCAGCAGGTTAACTACATGATACGAGGTTATTACGAGAATACAAAAAAGTATGCACGAAGACGATACAGCGGGAGTATCAACCAATGTGCGATTAAGGTCGATGCGACTGTACTGTCTGAGTGCATGCTTTTCGGTATCCTCTGAATAACTTTATTATTATCTGTCAACTTTTCCTCCCAAGGATACACCATGGGAATGCCGAAATACATACAGTTTAAAACAGATTGAGTGAACGTTATTGTATGGGGTCTGGTCAAACTGTTGCTGGGGGCTGCCATGTTTGTTTTTATTATTAGAGGACGCTTACAGGCATTATCGTTCCATATTTGGAGTTTGCATTTCCAAATATAGTAGGATGAAAATACCCAGTGCAATATTGCAAAGTTACGGCATGCTGTAACTTGTGGTGTTATGGTCACAGGTGTATAATAATATTATTGAATTCCAAAGTAGCCCACAGGACATGTACAGTACAGTCCAGTCCAAGTGCAACTTAAGATTTAGCAAGCCCTTTAGCTATTAAATTGATTAATTTGCCTAAGTGTCTCATACATGTATCAGTAACATACAATGTAGATGTATACTAAGTTGAAATTAGGAAGACAATGAGTGCCTAGTTTAAAAAAAATACCACTTGGACACTATGAAGATAATTAGGCTTACGCTTTCTACCTGGAATGTCTATTCAGAATATCCAATCCCAGTTTGCTGAGAATAAAGACTTCATGGAGCAGGAACACCGAACAATAGCAGAATCTCTTCAAGAAACTGAAGACAATCTAAAGGTAGAACATCTGGAGCTGTCGCAGAAAAATGTCTTGTTAGAGGAAAAGTTGGAAGAGTGTCGACAGTTGAAGGATACAGTCGAAAAGATTGGGTAAGTATTTTATTTGTCAGAAGCTTATGCATCAAATGCTAATTACATACATTGTCTGTACTTAAAAATGCTTTATTTTTGTTGAATTGTGAATCAGTGAAAATAAACATAATATAGAACAGCCAAAATTAATTATTTTACAGTACGTACATGTAATAGAGTTCCATCTTTCTGTACAATTTTTTGACTGAAAATATAGACCTAATCAAATGAAATGTATTTTACAATTTTTAGTTCATATTTGATATATGAATCAAACATTTTACATGTAATGTTACCACATCATATGTGTGCTTTTACAAAGTACATAATCTTTTTTTTGTTTTGCAATTCGATCAAACAAGGCAGACGGTTTCAGACTGTGTTTCTGTTGTTTAATGTTCATAGAAATTTGTTGATGCACTAGTTTGGATGATTAAGAAATCATGCTAAGTTTGTGTGTCAAGTACTCTTAAACAAAAGTTCTGGCTTTTACTACATATGATCATCTTGTGTTCTTGCCATTGTTGTGATTTTGTTAACAGTGGAAACTTTCATTGAATCATTTCAAAAACCTGCCTTCCAGTATTGTCAGTTAGTCCAGTATATGTGCGGCGATACATTTTTCAAAATTAGTTATTATTGGACTACAAGTTTACAAGACTTATTTGAATGCAATTTGATAATAAGGGTAGTCATGACGACAAATTTACACTAAGTTACTCTTGCACAAATTATTTTTTTCATACAAAGTGCAGTATTTCATTTTTGTAAACCTTCACACCTCAAAGAACAAAGTAGCCATGTATGTACCAAGATTTGATAAGCTTCACACTTGCAGTGACAAAAATATCCACTACGCACCTAAATTTGATAACCTTCCCAAGCCTTGTGCAAGTTACTCGTGTTTTAAATATGTTTTGATCCTGCCATATGATGTATTTAAAATGTAAGATCATTGCAGGGAAAAAAAGTAATACAAATCAATTATGTAACACTGTATCAACGTATAAAACAGCATGTATACTAATAATAGTATTACATAGCAATTGTAATGTTTTTACTCTGGGGTTATTTTGCAATTGAAACACACTATTTGAAAGTATTGAGGTAGTGTACTGTCAAACTATTCATTTTCACTGGCATTTAATTTCATCATTTTGTTATTTTGTTCGATTTCACTTTGTTTCAAGTTCACAAACTTAGTAAGGAAACAATGAGTTCTATTGTTATTCTACATGTTCATGTGTATTTAATTTAGTGAATTTTATTGAAAATAGTGCAAACCAGCGAATAATTAATACATTTGCAGTACCAGTACTTACTACTACATCCTTCAATTCTCCCCTACCCTCAACATCAACCCTTCAATTCTTTATTAGTTCCGAACTTGATGAATGTCAAACTGAACTTGACAACACGAAAGCACAGGCTCAGTGGATGATATATAAACGAAGCTATGAGATCAGTGCAGCTAGCCAAGTGGTTGTTGCTCTCAGGGAGGACATCTACAGCATGTTAGAGTTTCTAAGAGGCAAGCTTGGCACATCTCAGGTGAGACACAAACTTTGCACTTAATATAATACATGTACCTGTTTTCTTTGATCAATGATGCGTCGATTGATGCATCAAAAAGAGATTGATTTCTTGTTTTATTGTACCAATTGGACGCATTGAGGTCACTAAAAATGGGTTTTTAAGTCATTTGCCTACTCAGGTTTTTTAATAACAACATAAACAATGAAATTTTTAATCTGGGATTGTCTACTTTAAAACAGAAGCTTAAGTCTATTATTTTCTAATTGTAATTTGTTTACTGTTGTATTGTATTTAACAAATGTGTCTACTAACACACCACTGTTATTGGCCTTGTATGGCTGTTGTGGTTGTATTAAATAATTAAAATAAAATAAATAAAATATTCTGATAAATTAGGTTACCTTTGTTTTTTGTTTAAACAACCACTTTTTATCACACATGTTATTTTAAAAGTATGCGTATGAACAGTCTTACATTTTTTAATTATTACTAGTAATGTATATTCTTCTAATGCAGGATGAGGTTAGCAAGAATTCAAAACATCAAGATCAGCCACAAGGCTCTGTATCCAGTCTGGTTTCATCAGTACTGAATGCTGTCCGATCAAACAATGATATTTCAACTGGTGATCCCGATAAACGTCCTACCCTCAGTGGTTCTGACAGCAGTGCTTTCCATACTATACAGTCTACACCTGATCAGCCTGCTGATTGTTCCACAGATCCTGAGAATACTGCAGAGTCTGCGAAAAAACAAGATGCTACGCTAGGTGATCAGTTAGTGGGGATTAGGGATATGCTGACTGATGTCTGTCGATTGGTGCAAGTGTTAGAATCAGCAGGGTGTAATACCATCAAGGAGCTCAAAGAAACTACGTGAGTCGACACATACATTGTACAAATGTTCAAATTTTGCAAGTCAGGGAATGAATTTTTGAATCATTTTATTTGAGTTATTGGTCAACTTTTATGAAAATTTGTCTTGTAAATGCTGTTAATTTGTCAAATCATGAACAAAAACTGGTTTACAACATGTAAAATAAGTTGTGGGCTTGCATGAAGTTTGTTCAGACTGATGCTTTTAGCTCTACTATTTACGAGGCACATTATTTAAAACAGTTTGAAGCATTTTTCATGTTGTACAATGGACATTTTTCTTACCTTGTAGAGCATTACTGACAAGCAACATGGAGAGATTAAAAGAACGATACAACTTTGATATTGAACTTGTCAAAGATCAGCTGAGAGAGAGCGAGAGTAGAGAAAAAAAAATGCAGCATGACTTAAAGAATAAAAGAAGTGAATTATTTGAGAAAGAGCAGGCTTTGGATTACGCAAATAAAAAAATAGCAGAGCTAGCTGCTAATTTGTCACGATTCCCTGACCAGCAGTCGCACATACAGGCAAGTGATAAACTAATGTACTTTAGCTGCTATATGTGCCAACATCCGTATACAAATTTTAGATGAACTATCTTGTCCAGGAAGGATAGGCAGCTACTGAACTTTCATACATGTACATGTAGTAAAATGTTATTTTGCATAAGTAAATTAAGTAAATAAACAACCACTTTCTAAACAATTTTTTATTTCGAATCTTCTGTTTATCGCATATTTCTTAGACCCAAGAGAAGGATAAGAAACTGGTGTAAACAACAGAAATCAGAATGTTTTATTGTACAAGCTTGTTTTATGGCATGGAGCTTAAAAAAAGGAGCAGTGATGTGATTGTTATTGTGTACTTTGATAGTTGGTGATTACATTGTGTTATCTGTTTTCCTGTCATCTGTTTAACCCCTTAATGGGGATTACGTGATTCAGAGTATGCACAACCAGAGTAACAAACATGTTGTCAGGCGTAACACAAGCTCCCATAGAAATTTGCGATTAGTTGAAGATTTTTCTGCGCAAGACGGAATTCTGTGGATCATATAAATAAAGTGTTTCGAAAGCTAACCTGTCGGAGAGCATGAAATATAGTCAATCTTCAACAACTGGATTAAATGTCCAACTGTCTAGTTTCCGGTGTGTAGTGTGACTGGTGACCTTCTGTTTTCAACAAAGGTCACTGCGCATGAGTAACGACCTATGATCTGTGCAATTGATTTATATTAATATTTCATCTGAAAATTATTAGTGTAATCTGAATATTATGGTCAGTACACTTGTTTAAACAAACTATCATTGAGTTCAAACACCAGGAGTACAAAGGGATTAGGCAATAAACAATTGACAGAAGTTAATTGGCTTATTTTCCTTTTTTTTGTCACTGCTCCTTTTTTTTAGCTCTCTGCTTAAGCTATCTGTAATTTATAATTGGATTTTCTAAGGCTATCAAAAGAATCATCATGCGCAGTGCTATGTTGTTTTGGGCCCCAAATGTTTCTTCAAAGGAAAATGTTTCGCACTGGATGTCATGAGTGAATATTGAAGGTAACGTCAATTAAACTGGTATTTTTTATGTTAAATCTGGCTCTACTTCTCTCATGTCACATTTTTGTAAACACTCAAGAGTACATTATTTAAAATCATTTTAAAAACATAAAAACCATGGCCGAAACATCTTCTTTTGAAAAAAGCTGGAGAGGGAGCAGTTTTTGAAACAATGGCAATTTGTGTGCAAATAGTTTGGAAAATTATCTATCATTTCATTATCGGTATTAGTCATAACAGTTGTTGACAA